GTGGCAGAAGTACAGCGCCACTTACAGGCCTGCCATATGTACTACAGCGTCTCCAGCGCTTACGAGCGGTCTCGTGCGGAAGTACAGCGCCACTTACAGGCCCGGCATATGTACTAAAGCGTTTCCAGTAGTGTTAATTTCGTTGACTAAAACTATGACGAAATATGTTCGTCAACGACCATTTTTTTCCATGTCGAAAACGAGACGATGACGAGACGGCACCGACGGCAGTAAACAATAACTGCAACAAAATCATCATGCAATATCGTTGACGAAAAGTGACGAGACGAAAATGTAGTTTACTAAATAAAAACTATGCCAAAATCTCTCTTTACTTTCGTTGACGAAAAATGAGGAGACAAAATATTATCAAGGATAACGTTACATCTCTGATAGTCAGTTTTTCTCCAAGCAGTTCCATTTCCGGTGCTGCGGCAGAGCAGCAGCTATATGTGTGTCTGTGGTGCGCGCGGCGGTAGATTTGAATTACACCGGGCAGCGGCACAATATGAACTGTCAAGAAGACTCGGGTCTAACTCATGGTCTAACTAACCTTATTCAACATAAAATAAAATGGCAACAACAAGGCTTGGGAGCAGTGGTCGCACTCGCGTTAACCGAATATCCCCCGTCAGCGCGAGTGATTGATAAATTGTGCAATCGACGGATAATAATGGATTATGACGGAAATGTTACGATCCTGTCCGTCAAAATGACTGACAACGGAAAAAAAGCGAATGCATTGTTTTATCAGAAGGGAAGCAATGTGGCCAAAACACAGCTGGTACAAACACCACAAACCTGAGCAGATACTCTCTGCAAAGCTTCTTAATCATTCAACCTGTGTTTTTCATCAAATAAGGACAAGATATAATCTTATTGTGAAATACGTTTGACTAAAATGACAAAATATTGGTTTTGGCTAGACTAGTTTGACTGAAATGTTCTATATAATCTGATGACTAAAAAAGACTCAACAGTTTTCATTGACAAAAATAATTAGTTTGCTTTGACTAAAATAAGACTAAAATGCTCAGACTTTTAGTCGACTAAATCTTGACTAAAATGTTTGCTGTTTTTGTCGACTAAAATAAGACTAAAATGCTCAGACTTTTAGTCGACTAAAACTTGACTAAACAGGATGAAGGTGACTAAATATGACTAAAACTAAAAAGGAAAATGTAACACAGGACTAAGACTAAAACTAAATTAAAGAATAGCTGACGAAATTAACACTAGTTTCCAGTGGTCTCGTGTGAACGGACACGTTAAATGAGCCGAATGCATGTGAACGGAAGACTTTTTTGATAATGAATTCGGTCTGTTTGCGTTTGCACAGCGTGTGTAAATGGGGTCTGAGAGTGACTGCCAAAGCACCAGGGATTGACCGAAGGGTGTCAGGAAATCAGGAGCTGGTGTGTCACAGGGTGGTGTTTATTTCTCTATCAAACCATTACCCAGTTAGGCTAAGCTAACCGTTAAACAGGAAAATCAAATCAAATCAAGTTTTATTTATATAGCACATTTATAAACGATTTTTGGTCGAGCCAAAGTGCTGTACATAAAATATAAATAGCCTACAGTAGAGACACTTTACAGCAAATACAACAGCACAGATTGTTCAGAATATCAGTATGAGAAAAACGACACCCTCTATCCTTAGACCCTCACATCGTACAAGGAAAAACTTCCAGAGAAAACTCACAGTTTAAGGGGGAAAAAATGGGAGAAACCTCAGGGAGAGCAACAGAGGAGGGATCCCTCTCCCAGGACGGACAGACGTGCAATAGATGCCGTGTGTAAATCGAAGAGATAATACATTTTACAACATATAGACCGAATGTTAGGAAATGCATGTGTCTGTAATAAGAAGATGAATCCACGAGGATGTCAGCTACAAACCTGCGGAAGCCATCAGGGAAGCAGCATGACGAGACCCAAGGCAGGAAAAACACACATCTCTGGCATATACATGTTGAAAACCCTAATCCCATCTGATTGATACTTAAAGACGCCAACACAGTGTGTGACCGAGTCATTCTACCATCTGCTGTCTGCTGTTACTACTCTGAGGCTAGGGGAACACAAATTATTTTACATGATAAGAACGACAGCCTCACATTTCACAAAAAACATACTGTTAATTTCACTTATACCTATAGTACCTATATGTTTTCTAGGGAAAATCAACCCTTTAAAATGGAATGTTGTACTACTAGCCTGTTTCAACACATGCAAGAAAACCGACCAATCAACTGAAGAGAAAAACATTCTTGTGACTTATCCTCTGTGCATCATGCAAAATTAATGGCATACACATCAATTATTCACAAGTACTCATCCTCAGAAAAGCATGAGTACATAAATGATAAACAACTTTGGTAGGTACAAGACCTAAGTCTCCAGAGGGAAAGTCCTATACATACAATGCTTTGCCTGACTAACTGTTGGTCTATTGAAGATGGCAAAACTCTGCAAGCTCCATTGCCCCGCACAGCTGTTTAACACAACATTGCATAGGAACAGCTTGTGGATGCCAATTACATTACATGTTACTTGTTAGACGCTTTTATCCAAAGCGACTTACATACTCAATACTGTGGGCAATCCCCACAGGAGCAATTTGGGGTGAAGTGTCTTGCCCAGGGACACAACGACATGCTGACTGCAGTGGGGTTTGAACCTGTGCTCCCCTGATCCGAACACCAACGCACTAGTCCACTGCGCCACAGCCTACCCGGAATACACAAGGATTACACTGGGGGAGGGTTAACAGACAGAGGCTTTAGTAGAATAATACTGCATAAAAATGCAGCCTACATGACGCTTCCTTTGAGCGGGCTTTGTCCTTCAATCATCATGACTACACAAGGACAACCACAGTGAAGGGAGAACATTGCCATTTGTATGTGAATGGTGTGTAGAACTAACGTTGACTGACAGATAACACCACAATATACATACAAATTATGAAACATATATGTCATGTAATATATATAAGGCTGGAATGTATTTTTATTGTTTTTTTTCTTTCAGTTTTCCATGTTTTTTCAAAAGATATATATATATATATATATTAAACAGTACTACAATAACACCAATTGCTATTTTCTAGGCTGATCTTAATTGTACCTGCTGATTTCGACGTTGGTTCTTTCTAAGTATTATAACAGCATATTAGGGCTGCACGGTATTGAAAAAAACTGACATCGCGATTTTTTTTCCCCCCCTGCGGTATATATTGCGTTTTTTTTAACCTGTTAAACCCCAAAGTCCCGGCGGGTACTTTACTTTTTTTTCACGACAGTGTCTCAGGGGATCGTAATATTTAAGAACCTATTAATGTGTTATACCAGATTAACGGAAATAATCTCAGCTAATTGACGATACAAACCATTTTTACCAAAACAAAACACAAGTCTCATAAGAAGCATCTAAATGACCCCTGAGCGAAAAATGCTAACGCACTTTGGCACAGAACTCAAGCTAAAAGTACCCTGATTACTTATCGTAGCTGCACTTACAAGATATCCGATTAAAGCTGAGGTTCCACAGATTATTTAGGTATATACTATCATCACTGAGTGATCTGAACTCGGACAGGGGAAGCAAACACAGACATCACAACACGTACCTTTACGTAACTTCTAGGGGAGATGTCTCACCATAGCTGTCAATCTGATCAAAAGACGTGTTCAATGGCATTAAAACGAGAAAGAAAAAACGCGGCTGAATCGGTTAATCCATAGGTTTTTAAGGTCTCTGTATAAAAAAATGATTTAATTTATAATCCATAATTCCATTTTCTCCGGTATTGTCCTACTGTGCCTTGCTCATTTTTTACCAGTGTTTTGATGGTCTGTAAACTAGCGGGGCGGGGCCTGCTGTGATCTGATCAAGAATGATTGTGATGGTGGTTTGCTGTGCATGCAGGGGAAGTTCTACACACACCAACACGTGAACAAATAAGGAGTGAGAGTGACGCGTAGCCACAACCGAAAGCTGCATACACTCTGGTGGCTACCATTAGCAGCTAACTTTTGTGCTCCGATTTTTACATAAAAATGGAATTATGGATTATAAACAATTGCTTCAAAGCCACAGATACATTATCAACCTATGGATCAACCGATTCAGCCGCGTTTTTTCTTTCTTGTTTTAATGCCATTGAACACGTCTTTTGATCAGATTGACAGCAACGGTGAGACGATCTCCCGTAAAAGCTCCGTAAAAGGTACGTGTTGTGATGTCTGTGTTTGCTTCCCCTGTTGCGAGATCGGATCGCTGAGATACTATACTTAAATAATCTGTGGAGTCTCAGCTTTAATCGGATATATTGTATGTGCAGTTTCGATAAGTAATAAGGGTATCTTTATTTTGAATTCTGTGCTAAAGTGCGTTAGCATAAAAAAAATGAATAAAACCGCACGTCCCTGCAGTGTGAATACCGCGCATGCGCATACCGCGGTTATCGCCATGACACGGTATATCGTTCAGCCCTACAGCATATACACACATTATTGACATTTTCTTTAACCAAATATTAAATATCTTGTCCATACATATTAGAGAAAAATTATAGAAAACTCCATACCATGTAGGTAGGCCTGAAATAGAGTCAACGATTTATAATTATCTAACACTATTATTATTTTTATATAACGCTATTCATGAATCAGTATCAATTTCCAAGAATGTGAAGGTGTTTGTTTTGTATAATACTAGCTCCCACACTGAGCAGCGTCCTGCTGGCTGCTCACTACTGACAGCGCACGGAACGAGAGGACAGGGAGAGACCGCTACAATTACTCTGTTCAGCATGCATGGGAATGAATTACAATAGAATAAATAAAGTGTTTGTCTATGTAACTTGTTCCAAACGCACACAATACATTGTAATTAAAAGGCACAAGGAATCAAAACGATCTACAGACTTAAAAAATGGCAATTAGATGTTTGTTAGTGAGGATAGATCTTATATATGAGCCTGGTGCACTGACCTCTCATTCCCGGGCTGAAACTCCGAGAGTAAGGAGGGCCGGCGGCGATGGGGCTGGGACAGGTGGGAGCTGTAGTCCCTGGCATGATGAGAGTGGTAGTCAACTAGTCCCACTTCCTGCAAGACAAACAACAACAAGTTGTCAGCATGGACCATCCTTCTGAATGATGCAAAGAGCAAAGTGAATAAAAAACATTTTAATTTCATGTAATTTGACCCCATTCCCTGCCTTTTTTTCCTGTAATATCCAACTATTTTCTCTCCAGCGCTCATTAATCGCTCTCCTTCCATTTGTTTCTCACACAAGTGGGGTAACCCATTCCGCTACTGTAAGCTTTCCCCTCTGCCAGTCAGGAATTGTGGGATACAGCCCGTCAACCCTCATCTCACCCTGAATGTGTTGACAAGAGGGAGTGCTAGGATTAACTACAGGTGGACATCCCGGGGGGTAGGCCTTGGCTTCTCCCGCCAAAGAAGAACAAAAAAGTTATTGCAAACACTGGAGGTCACGGAGTGAACTTGTACATCAGACAGCCGCCTGCCTGTTCTTTGAAGCACAGACAGCTTTGCCCCCAATACATAGAAGAACATAATCTTGATAATTAGGACATTTCTATGGAAATAATGGGGAAAGCCTTAATGTGTCTCCATGATGTCAACATGAACTGTCAACTTGTACATCTAATGAGGGAACAGCTATGTGTGCATAACATTGCAACCTGGGAAAGTTTTTGTAGGAAAAACACCAGTGGGGGCCCCTGGGGTCAGGCCTCTTTCCAGTGGTTCAGAGTAATGCCCTGTTTACTAAATATTCAAGCAGGCAGAACCAGAATGACTATGTCAAATCTCTCAAAGGGTTTCGGGGAAAAAGAAAGTTGATGCAGTTCATGTGGAGCCCTTAAACGCATTGTGTACCGGACCGCTTACCGTGTGTGCCCGTTGCAGCTGTAGTGGTAGACTGGCAGGGTTTGGGAGGTGCCGTGTGTCCACAGTCCTCCGGCCCGGCGGCCCAGACTGGGGATGAGAGGACATGCTGGCACAGCCGCTTCCTCTACAGGCAGGAAGTGGGTATGGCTACAGAGCGGATGCTGTGCATTATTAGCTGTTTCTCTTAGCCATCAACCTGTGGAGAAAGAGAAAGAAAAAAAATTGCCATGAGACTTTATTTGTACTTGAGCAACCCTGGTGGCATGATTTTGGCCACATTCCTAAATGAAAAAAACAATGCATAAAACATTGTGCAATATGTGTGACGGTTGCTCGGGAACAATTTGATGTTTTCTGGCTCGCACCTCTGAAGTAGCTAGAGGTGAAAGTGTGTGTCTGTCTGCTCCGGATATCAGAATGTCATCACCTCCCTGACACAGATGCTCCCCCCTTCCATTGCTCCTAGTAAAGTAGTGAGAGTCCCTGCACCTGCTAGACTGAACCCCCCCTTCACTGCTTACTGAATAGCTCACTGTCCTCACACACTGAGGACTCACAGACAGACACGTCAAGCAGCCAGCCCGTAAACCAAGAATACTGACTTTAATGGGGCTTGACATGAAACATAAATAACTCAATGCCAGACAGATATGTAGTCCATGAATGTCAGGCACTAGATTTTAACTCCAGGTGACATTATGCAAACTATATCGACCTCATTTACAAGGGTGCAACATATTGACCAAGAATGAAAACAAGTCAAAACTGGCACAAACCTGATGTAACACACTGAATGTTTACTTTCTCTGTAAAAGCTAAGGGAATATATGTTTATGGTTTACATAGGGAAATAAGAAAGGAAGTAAAGTAAGAGTGAAAATAATGAGGCAATTATCGGCCGACCCCTAATATCAATTATTGACCAAAATAATCGTGATTATGATGTTTGCCATAATCGCACAGCCCTACCATGCAGATTACATCACACACACGACAAAGGGAAATCTATGACAATAGCTTATTATTATTATATCATATTTAAGGTTTTTACATTCAACAAAAATTAAATGTTGACACAATGATGAGCTCTGGTCAACTTTTTATAGCACCATTCTCAGACACTTAAAAAGCATGTGCTAGTAGTAGTAGTAGTAGTAGTAGTAGTAGTAGTAGTAGTAGTAGTAGTAGTAGTAGTAGAGACATATGTCCCTGTGACTCCTGCCAACAAAGAAATTAGGACTCCTGCCATTTCTAGGAGCCTCTGACTGATGACGCCTCTCTCATAGATCACATTTCAGCGCTGTACAAGCCACACAACAGGCACTTTGGCAGAAATATGGGCTTACAACATGGCAATGACTGAAATCTTTACAAACAGTGCTTAAGGTGTACTGCTAAGAACCATTTTGGTTTGTAGATATTAGGGATGCACGATAATTATCGGCCCGATAATTATGAATTATGACGTCATCCCGATAAACCCGATACCAGTATTAATAGCCCCGATAATATACAATATATTTTTTGGGTAAAAAAAAAGAAAAAATACTGCGGTGTGGGTGGATTGGGATGAGGGGCGCTTGTTCTTCACTCGGCTCCTCCCGTTTTGCCAGTACTGTGGTATTAGTGGTTTAGGAAGAGGGGAGTTCTTCACAAATCCAGCGCTCCCTAACTCATGCCTGGCTGTGACGTAAATGGTGTGCGGCCGTGAAGCCAGGACAGTAAACAAACATGTCGTCGGTGGTATGGGCGTTGGAGCTATGTGCAACTCGAGGCATACGCTCGAACCGAAGCTGCCTGGAAGCTGCCTGGAAGCTGCCTGGAAGCTGCAATCATGTTCCGCACTATCCGTGCTGAGTGTGCTGACTTTTCGTACAATGTCCCACTGTCTTGCTTCCTGCATAAAGTCAAGTGCTCGGCGCAGTTGTGGCGAAATGTCTCTCCTCTGTTTTCATTTAAACAGCTCCTTATATCCGTTAGCGCAGCTAGCTAGCACCAGATGCTAACAACAACAATGCACGTAAGGTCTCTCGCTCGCTCGGGCCACACATACACACACCCTCCCGGTCCTCCAGATGGCCAGTCGGTGCCTGCCGGTGAGCGTGGAAGTGTGGTCTGCCACAAGCGGGCGGCAGGAGCGTATGGGCTCAGAACAGTCTCATAATACACAGAAGGATTCAAACTTGTATTTCCGGATCCATACTTGTGTTTTTCAATGAACACACAAATGTATTCCGTTTCATATACATGTAAATAAAATCCAAATACAGAAAAAAGTTTTACATATGTATTTTTGATCCTCACTTATTAGTTTCCCGTTTAAATCCCCTGAACCTGCAAACACAAACAGCTTTCTGTGCACGGATCGCTTTGCATTCGTGTGTGGGTTTTATGAGACTCCCCTGACGGTCAGCCGATTCGTACTTGTAATTTTTTCTATCTATAGCCAATCAGATGTCTCCTTCATTCTAAGCCAATCACATGAGCGCGCCCCCACGAGGGTAAGATTACTTCATACACGCATTTTGCGCAGTCCGGTCAGCTCACTAAACAGAGGGCGGCGCATCAGGTGATCATGCAGAGCAGCGTGTCTCCATCAGACTCAGCAGCTGATCTGATCTCTCTCTTGCGTCCGGTTATACTTCACTCGCGTTTATGTCCATATCGATCAGATCCAGCTCTCCTGATCGGCCTTTATAGAGAGCACCGATCAAACTATTAAGAGTGAATATCGGCCGATAATGACCGGCGGGGCTCCCCCCCGAGGTCACTGTCTAGCACTGGCTTCGTAGTGCACTGATCGATTAGGCTAAGCTAACCTGTGGCTGCTCCCTCCACACTCACAACAACTTCATACAGACATAAATAAAGCAGCTGTATTTGCAATCGCCATACAGGAAACACACATTTAAAACGGTTTTGCCTGCCGTTTTTGTGTACACAAGCATTCATCAATGGTTTGGAAAGTGGCGCTGTACCTTAATAATATAAAGGCTTGTATTTGCGTGCATTTCCTGTTCGGAAAGTGGCGCTGTACTGAGAGTGGAGGGTGTCTCCTGAGATTAGCGCCTGCAGGCAGGCTCCATGGAGCTGTCAGCTCCGGACTGCGCAAAATGCGTACATGAAGCGCTACGTCATGAACGCAAGAAATCTACCCTCGTGGGGGCGCGCTCATGTGATTGGCTTAGAATTGAGGAGACATCTGATTGGCTATAGATAGAAATAATTACAAGTACGAATCGGCTGACCGTCAGGGGAGTCTCAAAAAACCCACACACGAATGCACAGCGATCCGTGCACAGAAAGCTGTTTGTGTTTGCAGGTTCAGAGGTTTTAAACGGAAAACAAATATGTGAGGATCAAAAATACACATGTAAAACTTTTTTCTGTATTTGGATTTTATTTACATTTATATGAAACGGAATACATTTGTGTGTGCATTGAAAAACACAAGTGTGGATCCGGAAATACAAGTGTGAATCCTTTTGCGGATCATGAAATACAAGTGTGAATCCTTCTGTGTGTATGTGTGTATTATGAGACTGTTCTGAGCCCATAGGAGCGGGGCTGTCAGCATCAGCTTGTAGATGGTATTTTAAACTCGATGCGCTCTGAAACTACGGGGCGGCCAAGGAAAAAAAATACACATGCGTTAATCGCGTTAAAATAATTAGTGGCGTAAACATTTGTTTATTATCGGTTATCGGTATCGGTCTTGAGAAGCAGGAAGTTATCGGTATCGGTTTCAAAAAACCAATATCGTGCATCCCTAGTAGATATGATTGAGATTTGAAACAAAATGTAATTTCCCACTTCTATCAGTTTGTTTTGTATAAAGAATAATAACAGTAACAAAGCCAATATTACTTGCTGTCACAACCACATGAACATATTTGGAGACACAGTGGGTTATTGTGGGAAATTACAATTTATGTAACAATTGGTTGAACTTAAATACATTGGTAACCGACAAACTGTAACACTAGCTCACTAGTGCTAACCCCAGGTCAGCTAATACCAGGCCCCTGAAAGTCCCATCCTAGATGTAGAGTAATCACTTCTGCAACAAGTAGTAAACAAGCATTACTGGATCTATGAACACCACAAGGTTCAGGCCTACATTGTTGGTATAATAGAACCTATGGTAGAGTGCCAGCGTGCCAGTCTCTGTTGTCTGACTCTTCATACTGTACAAAGAGAGGCCTTATCTATCCTTGCTTCCTGCCCCACTGTCACAAATACAAAGTGTCACTTGATTTCAGTTACGCAGAAGGCTCTTTTACAAGAGGCTGAACAAGGCTCTGGCATTAAGGAACAGAGGCGCTCTGTAAACATCCTCAGAGAGGACAGGAGATAGAAAACACTGCTAAAGTTCTCATATTGGCTAAATCATTTTCATCTGTGTAGGGTAGTTGAAAACTGTGGCTTCAAATATGTTCAAAGAACTGGTGTATACTTGTCTTTATGAGAGACAGACCTAGATAAACCGACCACACAAAGGGAAGTGCTAACGTGATTGAGTAGACTAGTGAAGTTCTAGAATCTAGATGAACAAAACTAGGGATGCTCTGATCGCCAATTTTGGGGCCATCGCCGGAATCAGTATCGGCTAGGGAAGTAAAGATATACTTAATATCGCGGTAAATAAACGTCCCAATACCGTCGTGAGACTGACAAAATCTACCGCGATTTTTTATTTTTATTAAATTTTTATTTTATTTTTTAAATCAACTTTTTTTTGTTTTAAACCTTTATTTAACCAGGTGGTCCCATTGAGATTATCGATCTCTTTTTCAAGAGAGACCTGTCCAACATGGCAGCAAGTAGGTTACAACATGAACATAAAACAACAGAATACAAAAGGACATCGTATTTGCAGGGCTACATTTACACACCTATGCCCCTTTCACACCAACGCGTTTTCAGCTCCGGCTCGGAGCTGGAGCCTGAAAAGTACCGTTTTTTCCTGTTCACACCGCAGAGGTGCCGCCTCTTAGCTCCGGAATCCGGTTCACTTCCAGCTCCAACAAATTGTCGGCCTAGAGGCAAGAGCTTCGGAGCTAAGAGGCGGCGTCGCTTACGTCTCTCTTACGTAGAGGCGAGGGAAGGGGCAGATTTGTCGTTGAAGTAGATGCTGAAGACCACAAAGAAGTCTTGCATTTCGCATGTGATGTTTGTAAAGTTCCAAGTAAAGTC